GGCCCTACCAGAGGTCCACTGGAACCAGCATGAAGGGGAAACATGGGACCTCTGACCGCTGGTACCTGGACTTGCAGGTGCAGAGGCACAGAAGTGAGAGACAGCATGCCAGGTCTGGGGTAGAGAGGGACCCTGAGGGCGACTAGGGAGGAGATGAGACTAGAGAAGTCAACCTCGATGCCATTCAGAAAAAAGAGGACCTGTTCTCCCAGGCTGCACGTGTGACTGGAGGGTAGAGAGGTGGAGCTCAGGCCTCGGAAGGGAGGGAATCATGTCAGTTTCACGCTTAACAAAGTCTTCCCTGGCAGTGAACGAGGAGGTGGAAAAGGGTCAAGGCCAGAGAGTTGGCAGGGGCTCTGCGAAGAGCAGAGGGTGCCCAGAGTAGTGTGGTGGTAACAGTCGGGTGGACTGAAGAGCATCCCATGGAAACAGGATATGGTGAGGGACAGGAAAGAGATGGGGCGGCCACAGCCTCCTTCAGGATGGCCTGCGACAAGTGCAGATGAGCATGCCATGTCAGGTGTGCAGAGCTCAGAGGGCCCGTGGAGTTCAGGGGGCATGCGGAATATTTAGTGGAAGTGAGGGTCAATGGGCCTGAGGTCTCTATTCTGATTTGAAACTTGGAGACCAGAGTCTGGCCCAAGATGTGGATGTGAGTGGTGTCCTTGATGCAGGTGGGAGGGAGCTCTCTGAAGGAACAGCTCTCTCCCATTGACGGTGAGCAGGGGAACAGAACTCCTGAGGGTGAGCCACATGCTATTACATGAAAGTCTTTTTCATTCAAAATTATTTAATCATACATATTTGTGGTGTCCTCTGCAGTGATTGGATACATGTATACAATGTGTAATGATCAGATCAAGGTAATTAGCATTTCCAGCTCCTTTAAATTTTTTGTGTTGGGAACCTTTGAACTTCTAGTTCTTTGTAAAGTGTACAATAAATCGATGTGAACCATAGGCACCCCCTGTGCTGTGGAGCAGAGTTCAGGCCTCCTGTCTAACTGGCTTTGGATACCCATGACCCAGCTTCCTGCAACCACCTCCCCGCCCTTCCCTGCCTCTGGTTCCACTCTTTAGATGACGAAGTGAGGGACTGTTTATTACACTGCACCATGTTCTTCCTGTTTCTTTATTTTCTATTTTTATCTCCTCTATAGGAAGAGAATTTTCTTAATTGTGTCCTTGAATTGAAATGCCTTGGCACATAGAAAAGGTACATTGAATTTCCACAAATGACCCGCGTTGTTCTTTGAAGAGCTCCCTTTTTGTTTCGTGGACTTTATCCCCTTCAGTCACTCACCACTTACCTGAGTTGATGGCCGCGCAGAGAACAGTGACAGCTGAGTAATTCGTATTCCTGTGGCTGGACATGCTGCCGGCCCTCTTCCCTTTGTCTCTTCCTGTCCTCCTCACCTTTTAATAGGGAGTTGACTTGCCTTGGTCACTGTGTTCTCCTGGTGATATCCTTCAGGTTCATGGCTGTCAAGATCCCACCACACTGAAGCTTCTGTTCTAGTTCGACCTCGCTCTCCCCCAAGCTGCGGACTTCCTGCCCATCTCTGGACTCCATGCTGGCGGCTCCTTCAACATCCCCAGTCCAGCTCCAGGCTCCCCTTGACTCTTCCTTATTTCTCAGACCCCCTCTGACATTAATCCTGTTGGCTCTGCTCCCAGTCCAGAATGTCTTGCATCCCCCACCTCCATTGCTCCTGCTGCTCTGGGCTCTTGTCCGCAGCAGCCTTCCCTCTCCCTCCTTGACTTGTCACTATAGTCTGTTCTCAGACTGGCCACAGAGACCCTGCAGAACATTTCAGCCAGGCACTGCTTGCCAGCCCCATGGCTTCTCTCTCCACCAACAGTGAAAGCCACATCTTAGAGTGGCCACAGGCACCAGGAAATCTGGCTCCGCTTTCTCTTCGGGCTTCCCTTCCTGGTTCCTCCCTCCAGGCACACCTGCCTTCTTAACCTTTCCTTCAGGAAGCCAGGTGCCACCACTGCCCTCTGGTCTTTACCCCAACATAACTTTGACTAGAAAATTTGTGCATATTCTGTCCTTGTTGCTGCTGTGCTTTTCTCTATGGCACCCTCTGACAGACGCCAGCGTTCCGTGTCCTCCCTCTAGAGAGAGCCTGGAGCGCCAGCTCACCCTGAGCTCCAGAATCTAGAGCAGTGTCTGATCTGTAGAAGGCAATAAGTGCAAATAGAGTTGATTTTACTGTATTATGAAGGGAATCTTAATCTCACCCTTTAGGTTCATCTCCAACAAGTATCTAGTAAAGCGACAGAGCAGAGACTGTGACGTGGAGTGGGGCTACGCCTTTGACGTGCACCTCAATGCCTTCTACCCACTCCTGGTCATTCTGCATTTCATCCAGCTGTTCTTCATCAACCGTAAGTAAGACTTACTTCTCATCTGTCGCCCGTGCTCCCTGTGTGCACTGGGAAGAGACTCACTGTGCATTTCTCCTGGCAGATGTTATCCTAACAGACACATTTATTGGATATTTAGTTGGAAATACCTTATGGCTGATTGCAGTTGGCTATTACATCTATGTAACCTTCCTAGGATACAGTGGTAAGTACTGTAAGAAATTGGGTGGGTGCCTGCGTAGATGACAGGGAGGGGTCAAGTTGTAACACATATGGAGCACTGACAGGCCCTGCCCCAAGTATATTATGTAATCCTTATAACAATGATGATACAGGTTCACTTGTTCCCATTTTCCAGTGAGGAAACTGCAAAAGATTAACTTGTCTATGGTCTCCCAGCTAGAAAGTAGTCTAGCTGGTATATGACAAATTTCATAATCTCCTGGCACCGTGTTAAATCATGCTGACATCTCCAAGCTGCTGGCAGGAGTTGGTCTCCCGTCTCTTCTGCATGTTCAGTTCCAGGTCACTGATACCAGGGCAGAGTAGGGAAGGGTCTGGGCTTGCAGGCCTGTGACTGGAGCTGTTGAAAACATTTTTGCACCATTTTCTTTTTTTGTGATCATGTATGGTTCTGTAGATGATCACAGACAATTAGACCCAACTTTTATTGACCTCAGCATATGTTTGCCAATTTACTTTTTTTGTTGTTGTTGTTACCAGAGATTGAACTTGGGCATTTGGCCACTGAGCCACATCCCCAGCCCTATTTTGTATTTTATTGGAGACAGCATCTCTTTGAGTTGCTTAGTAGCTCACTTTTGCTGAGGCTGGCTTTGAACTTGAGACTCTCCTCCTTCAGCCTCCTGAGCCGCTTGGGATTACAGGTGTGCACCATGGTGCCTGGCCTGCCAATTTACTCTTAAATCCTGTTGTCAGCTCATTTTACTTAATATGAATAACATTCTTACATTAGTCTTCAAGCATATTATCTCTTACGAGCCAGGTGTGGTAGGTAGTGCATGCCTATAATCTCAGCTGTTCAGGAAGCAGGAGAGTCAAAAGCTGGAGGTCAGGCTGGGGATGTAGTTCAGAGCTGGAGCATTCGACTAGCATGTTTGAGATCCTGAGTTTGATCTCCCAGTACCAGCCTCCAAAAAAGGCTCTCCAGTGGAAAATAAAATCTAGAGCTCCCACATATTTTAGCCCTTCCTGTTCTTGCTGTCAGCAGCTTTTACTTTCCTCAGACTGGTCCTCTGGATAGAGCTGTTCCCAGCTCTCAGCTGATTTGCCAGGATCTTATCCCCTTCGCTGCACTGCCTGGTGTAGGCACTGCCAGTCCTTCCCCTGCTCTAGGGCCGGGTTTGTGACCAGATTCAAGCTTCTGGTTGTCACATAATTGGGGAAGGTTGTGGTCGGTGTCCTGGTGCAACACTTGGCCCTCCTATGTGGGGAACACTCTCCTGGGATCTTCCTGTGGGCAACACATTCCAAGTCTGCAGAGGGGGCCCCTGGACTAAGTGATATCTGGGAACCGTAGGGGTATAATGGCTTTTGCACTGGAAACTTTCAAATGGCTAAGATTTTTTCCCCCCTCCGTCATCATCTGTCTCAGTACCTTAAGATGGGCTTCTGAGGTGGTCACTGTCCTGGTCAGTATTTGTAATGTCCCTCGCTCAGTCCTAAGGGTAGCAAGACAGTATTTATAGTTCTACAAACAGCACCACGTACCTTTTTAAAAACATTTTTAGTTGTAGAAGGACCCCTTTATTTTAATGTGGTGCCGAGGATCAAACCTAGTGCCTCAGATGAGCTGGGCAAGGGCTCTACCACTTGAGCCACAGACCTGCATCACGCGCTTTTTGGTCCCACATGTTGAAGAGCAAGCCGTGTTTTGGAATGTTCACTTTTTTTAAGAAATAATTTGGATTTCTTTCCCTTCCAGCATTGCCCTTTTTGAAAAACACAGTAATTCTTCTCTACCCATTTGCACCTCTGATCCTACTGTATGGGCTGTCGCTGGCACTAGGCTGGAACTTCACCCGTGCTCTGTGTTCTTTCTATAAGTATCGAGTGAAATGAAGAGAAAGGTGGCAGTACCCAGCTTGACTGTGTCAACAGTATTGGTGAGGTGATGATTTCTTGTAAAACTTGTAAATAAACGCTTTGTAGATATCTTAAAGGTGTAAAGTTTACAGATTTGAGGAGATATGCTAACACTGTGGTCAAGTACATTCCTTTAATAAATATTTTTTAAACTAAAGCATGCATGTGGTAATATGGGCACCCAGGAGCTATACATAACTTTCATATGAATTGATTTTGGACAACGGGCTACCCTCAGTCTTCACCAAGCCTCTTTAACCTGAGGTGCAGCTGCGTAGTAGAGGCTCTGTTGTCACTGACAGTGTGGCTTGCCGAGAAAGGAGGGCACAAAGCACAAACTCCCACTATACACTAGCCTGAGGCAGTGCTGGGGGCTAAGCAAACACCTGTGTAAACAGTGGCCATCTGGGTCTGACAGCAGGGCTATACCCTTTTCAAAACACATAGGATCCACTCCTGTTTCTAACTGAAAAGAAATTCCTTTCAGTGCTAATTTTATTAGAAGAAATCTTGAATCAGCACGGCTTTTTAAATCTCTTTATTTCAAATACACATGAACAGTTGTGGCACAGAGAAACAGTGATGAAAGGCACAGTCAACAGGACCAGTTATTAGGTTTTCAATTATAGCAGCAAATTGAAAATAAATATTCTTCCTTTAAAAATCCAATAGGTACCTAAAATATTACTACAGATATTAACCGTTCAACACATCTAGACATTAAGGAAAATATGTACATTTAGGAAGAAAAAAAAACATCTGGTACAACCTGGCAGAGATTGTTCAGGCAGCTTCTCCAAGGGATGCCTCCAGAAACATCCCCAAATGCAAAGACAGCCTTTCCAAGGAAAGTGCTCTGAATGAGACATGCTTAGTTCTTCATTCCATGAAGGAAACACAACTGTTAGGCTTAGCAGACTTTAAATCTTCCTTAGAAAACATCACTGGCTATACCGAAATGAAAATATCAAATCTGCTGGCAGTGCATCTTACAGTACTGTCGATATCCGCCATTTTTAAGGCTCAGAGAGAATGTCTTCAAGAGATTTTTACCAAAGTTGAGCAGACATCGAGCACTTTGAACAAATAACGGGATGCTAATCAGGGTAAGGTACAAACCAACCTTTGATTCTGGGACAGCTGCTAATTACTAATACAGTGAAACACCTAGGAGCGAGCGGTACAAAAGAGCCTGCCTGACGTCTGAGGGTATTCCAGCGTTCACAGTCCTCAGTCAGAGCCGTTAGCACCGCTGCCCTGGACATTGGACTGCAGCATTAACTGTGGGCACAATGCTCTGCCTCCTTCCCAGCTCACTTCACTGCCTTTTTTCCCTACAGTGCCAGGGGCAGGACCCCGGGACCTGGCACACACAGGCCAGTGCTCTACCCCGGATCTGCACCCTAGCCCACCCTACTGTCTTGAACATCTCCTTCCTCTCAGTTCCAACAACCCAGAGCGCCAGCTCTTCCTCTGTCTGTTCTTTGACAATGGTCTGATTGGTGCCCAAACCGGAGAAGGGGGTGCCAAAGGTGGGAAGAGTTTAATATAACGATGACACAGGGTTTGGGTGACAAACCCTCACTTGGCTGCTTTTCCTAATACTGCTTTAGTAGTCTTTTTAGCATCGTATGTTGACATGCATTAAAGAAATAAAGTAAGCATACTAGTTATCATAGCATATATCTGTTAAGATTAAGAATTTAAAATTTCACACTATCAAACTAAATTTTACACATTATAAATACTGCTACATAGCTTGGAAAAGTTGCTTTTATAAAGGGATTGAGCTGGAAATCTAAGTTTCCTTTTAACACAAAGATGTGATGATGACACATTTGCAATCTTGAAAGTTTGTAGTTTCTAATTTCCTTATTCTTAAATCAAGGGTATGGCAACATAGTAAAGATGAGCACAAAAATTAATGGATAAACCAAACTAAAAGTGAACCCCATTTGCAATTAACGGCTTGAAAGCAGAGAGGTATTTTGGAAAACATTCTCAAAGTACAAAAATGGGGTTGGCACAAATAGGGTTTGATCTGTGCTAGGTAATAAAGTTTTGATTAAAAAAAATAAGTCCCTCATAACAGAATAAATTACTATGTAATCTCTACATATAAGGAGGAGTTATTTTTCTCTTAATTTGGTGTCCTGGAATACCACTGTTTATTCTTTTGTATACTTCTGACAGGTTCAGAGCAGTCTATTCTAAATCATGAATATCTCACCTAGAAAAAAAGGCTCCTCACATTTCGATTCCTATAATCTCGTTCTAACAGTTCTTGTATAAAACATTACATTTTACCAACAAACTTCCAACAAAGACTGAGATCTCTGGCACAAAACATCCTAGCTGAGGCCCAGGACTACAATTTACTAGTAGAGACTATTCGTGCACTTTTTTTTTTTTAAATCAAGAAATACCCAACATACTACAGACAATCAGGTACGAAGTCGTCTCCTCCTTACCTCTTCTAAATGACATTTTCTATTGCTGTACAGCAACTACCACAAATGTAGCAACCTAAAACTCCACCCATTTACTATCCTACAGTTCTGCAGGTCAGAAGTCACAGCAGACTCGAGTTCTCCAATTAGGGTCCCACAAAGCTAGGATCAAGGTGCTTGGCCAGGCTGGGTTCTTATGTGGAAACAAATCCATTTCCAAGCCCATGTATGAGCTTGTGGCCCGAGTCAGTTCCTGTGGCTATAGGGCTGTACATCTCATTTTCTTCGCTGGCAGCCAAAGCCTCCTGGCTCCTGGAGGCTGCCGGTATTCCTTCCCCTGTGACCCCCTCCACTCAGTTGCCTAGCGTTGGAGTTCTGCTTGGAGTCTATAACTTGGGCTACCAGACTTAGAAAACTGCTTTTAAAGGGCTCAGGAGACTGGATTAGTCGCCTCCAGATAATCTTTTGCTACATAACATTGCATAATCATGGATCATACAGTTCCACCCACACTCAAAGGGGAGGATATGATACAAGGTCCCAGGGAGGGAGTCACTCTTAGAATTCTGTCTACTAAACACACTGCTATTAACTGGAGCAATCTCCCCAGACATGCTATTTTCATATCACCAAACTTCTTTGAGGGACAGTACTGTTGGGAGACAATTTTGTTTTTTATTATTATGAAAGATTTAAAAGAAGCCTTTACAAATTTGTTCATGGCTTTTAAAATAACTGTACCTTCTAATTTTTTAGTTCAGCTGCTGATCTGAAAAGCTGCACAGAACCTTGGTTCAAAGACATCTCTAAGAGTTGAATATATACATGTATGTCTAGCCCGTCTGGATCCAAACCAAGAAAGCCTGGATCTTAGGTGCTAGAAATTGGTCCTCGACTTTCTCTTTTCGCCCCAAATACTCATTGCATTATAGCGTACGCCCATCTGCTTTTAACCCTGTCCTCAGAATCCTTTAATTCTGGTTTCTAAAGTGTTCACATTGTACTCCACACAGTAATGCCCATCAGAACTTTCTGCAATGATGGAAATGTTCTATATCTCTAGGGCCAATGTAGTAGCCACTAGTCACATGTGGCCACAAAGCACTGGAAACGTTGCAAGTTCAACTGCAGAACTAAATTTTTTATTAACTTAAAAAGCTACTGTGCATCTAGTGACTAGTGCCTAGGCAGGCATGCACTGCTCAGGAGTCTGAATAGTTAACCTGGAATACACACCAGATGCCAATCCATGTCAGGTGGTGGGACTAACATATTAGTGACATTTTCCCCATTCATTATTTGGTACAAGTGGTTCAGTGTCAAGTTCAGGTACTCTGGTTCCAAGTGTTCTTGGCCCTCTGCTACCCGTCAGGGCCACCACTATAAATTCTTGCTTGGGGAAAGCAAGATTGCTCTCAATTGCCTAGCGGAGGACCTGGTGGAAAGGAGGAGCAACTAATGCTGAGGCCAGGCGAGTCCACTGCTGCAGTGAAGGACAGACAGAGAGGAAATGAGGCGCAGGCTGGCTGCAGGAGCTCAGAGACGACACGTCAGTCACAACTAGGCAGGGAGATGCGTGTGCATGGTGGGAGGGTGAAAGGCCAAGGGAGCAGAGGGAGGGAAGAGGCTGGCACAGCTGGTTCACATGCTCAGAGGCGACCACACCTTCCATGTGCCGGACACATTCTAGAAACAGGGAACAAAGCCATGGGAGGAAGGAGAGTCTCCGTGAATGATGGAAAGAATTCCAGGAACTGGAGAGAGGAGCAGAGGCTGGGGTGGGAGCTGCGCTGGCTGGGCCCAGTCTTTAAGAAGCCCTAACGAGTGGCCCGGGGAGCTACAGCACTTTGTCCTCCTAGGCTGGCTTTCCTTCTGAAGTCCCAGTTGCTACTGAGGAACCAGGGACCCTGGGGGTCTCCATCTGCACAGATTTTTAGCTGCTTCAGTAGTGGTTCAGAATGCCAAGGTGGTGCCTACATTTACAACAAAAGGCAAGTCCCTGTTTTGAAAGAAATTTGCTGATAGGCTCTGCGATGGGGAATTTAAAAACTTCAACTGAAATCTGACATCAAATCCTGGGCCACATGGTAGGTTTGCTGACCAAGGAAACTAAACATTCTACAACAGAGCGGGACAACAGAACCTGATGGGCATTTCCCAGCCTCCCCTTCATCTGGCACAGCAAGGGCAGCGTTGGACGCCATGCATCCCACATACTGGGCAGCAGTAAACTCCAGGCCAGAGGTCACCAGCCCTCGGCCTCAGTCAGGGCCCCTCAGAAAGCTCAGGGGATCCACCTGTAAACACCTGCCACACACTGTAACCCTGGGTGGCTGGAGTGGCCTGGCTGGCTCGACAGCTCCTAACTGTTTGAAAGGGAAGTACTCTGTGGAGACCGTCGATGGCTGAAGCCGGTGACACACTCTGCTGGCCGCAGTGACAGGATGTGGAACTGCCGCTGAAGGTGATGATTGCTCTGGAAACAGGTCAGATCACAATGCAGCAGAATAAAGCATTCTGGGAAAACATACAACTGCTATACTACCTTTTGCCACAAATCTATATAATAATTTTGTTTTTCTTTAAAATTATACACATCATGACCTATACAATAGCATTACCTAAAAACATTAACTCAGAAATGAGAGCAGATATAAAAGGTTCAACAAGAAAAGAGAATGCATATAACTCATGGATTACAGACAAAGATTAAAAAGGAAGGAAGGGTCTGCCACCTTCCCTACCAGAGACTTAGCGAGTGAGTCCGTGGCGATTCAGGTTGGCGCCGTCACACCCGCACACTGAGAGTCCTCAGACTGATTTTCTGTGGCTACATACCACACGCAGTATAGTAAAGCAACCCTCAAGAAGGATGTTGGTCTTTAAAATCTTGGCTTTAAGGAATGATAAATGCCTTTGAAAATATTTTGTTTAGAATCGCTGTGATTATAAAAGTACTTCAGTTAAGAAATCCATCTATAATCAATCTTAAATGGCAGTGCATTTGAAAAATGGCATTGATTTGTAATGTTTGCATTTTGAAAGAAAAATATAGAAAGAACTTAAAAAAGCAAGGTAACTGGTTCTCAAAAAAAGTACTGATTCAAAAATTTACTGCACAAAAATATGTACTCCTTAAGTGTTTCTAATAAATTAATTCCATACATTTTATGTATATTTATATATTTATATATAATCCCTGATAATCTATAAAAGAGGGTCTATAATAGTAAAATAAATGAACTTCAAAAGTACCCCCTTCATAAAATGTATTTAACATTAGTTTTCTCAAATTTAAGGAATGTAACAATATGTACAACTCGTATGTATTAGTATAATACCAAAACAGTACAAGTCCTATTAACAGGCTGTCATAATTGTAAAATGTTTGCATCAAGTTAAAATTGGAGAAGAGCATAGTTCAAATGAATACAATTATCTTCGGGAGATTCGCTTTCCAAGTGGAAACAGCAGTCGTCTTATCTACAGTAGATTCACAGAGGTAGTGTTCAAGTTTGGAAAAAAAAAAAAAAAAGGTACATGCTTAACTATCTTTAACAGAGTCACCAGGAAAAAACGTGTTGGTTTCTTAGATGATCAATTAGTGATTTTTTTAATATGAATCTGAAACACAAAATAGTGAAAAGTATAAGGCAGTTAGTTAATGCTCAACTCCAAAAAGGCCTTACATGAAATATCAAACTAATAAAAACTCAGCATCTAAGTGGCTTCACTGATTAGTGTATTCTTACCTCGTTAAGAATGGCCCAGACAGCAGAGTTCTGAATGACTGACAGGCGAAAGGCCGAGATGGGGTTGAGGCTAGGATCTACCATTCCCTCCGCGACACCGTTCTCAAACTTTCCTTCAAAACAAAAATCAATACTTGCTGGACAGTCTGTGACAGCCACACATGAAACATCCCTGACTGAAGACGGGTCAGGAACCCACCAAAATGTTTCTGTCCAGTGTCTCCAGTCAGGGCCTGGATGTCTTTCCCCCCCTCTCCTCCTTTCACTCAGCTTTAAGAGTTTTCAAGTAGGGTATGCTTCAAGACATTGGAAGAAACCTATTTAATTAGGTAGAACTATACTTTTAAATTAAAAAAACAAAACAAAAATGTGTGTTCCTGCATCACCAACATTTTAGCAAATTGTGACTTGGAAAACCTTGCCAAAGTAAGACCTATGTGACTCCATCTGATTGCCTTCAAGGTTAAGTCCGGCATAACCAACCTCAGTGTTTGAATCAGGTCAAGAGCAGAGGCTGGCCTTGAGCAGGGGCTCAAGGCACATGTGTTCTTTCAAGGACTTGTCTGGAAGGGGCTGTGAAGGAACACCTCATCTACAGTGTCCATTTGTAATGCCACCAGAAATGACAAGCTGAAATGGCTCTCCTAGAGAAGGAGTGAAGCCAGGATCTTCTGTCAAGGGGACACGCTATTAAATTTTTCTTGCTGTAAGGAATACCTTCACAAAGAACAAAACAACAACAACAAAAAAAAAAAAAAAACAGCATGCTTTCACAAGTGATGAGAAAATGGTTCCTTCAGGGTCAAAGTCATTCTAAGCCAAGGGCTAGCAAATGTTCTCCATAAAGGGCAGTCTCTGTGAGCCACCAGGAAAACTGAGGAAAGGAGGCAGGTACTAATATAAAAAGAAAAACTCCCACAAATTCTTCATTGATGAAATTCAATATATAAAAACAAGTAACATTTCTGTATACTATGGGTGTTCTAAGGAGGATTTTGAAATATAGAAATATCTTTTTTACTAATACAGAGGTCCCAAATCACTGCTGGACCTGTAGTATGGGAGCCTATCTACTGTAAATGTGAATGGTAACTGGATTCGGGCCCCTCTGCAGGCCACCCTGGGCACTGGCTCCCGCCTAAGGGGGCTCCTCTGTACTCTTTCCCGGCTCTCCTTGGTGAGTGTCCAGCTGAGCTCCAGGCTGCCCTGTACATAGCCACCGTCCTCCACTTTTTTACAACCCACTTCTCTACCACAGTCCATGGTGCCCTTAGCCTTGAACTTTCCCAAGTTCTGTTCCAAATTGGGCCCCAGAGGGAAGGCTGAGGAGCACCCTGTCCTTCTGGTCTGCCTCTACCCAGGGCAAAATCTGCACCCCACCCCGCCCCCACCGTCTCCAGCAGGGAGAACGCCCCTCTAGTTCGAGTGATACCTGCTTTGTGAGCAGAAGGCCGACTGTGGCAGCTTTTGGTATTCTGGGATCACTTCCCAGTGTGCTAGTGACGTGGCTTTCTAGCTGCCAAGCCGTGCGAGTGGCCTACTGGTCCCTGCTGAGCAGCAGAGTGGGGGCCAGGGTGGGTCAGCCGGATGCACGCAGCCAGTATGGACTACTATCACGCGAAGCCCGCCACACAGGCAGAGGGCCTGAGGCATGCCCACTGTTGTCCTTCGGTGGCCAGGCCTGGGCAAGGTACGGACACCTGCTGCAGGAGCCGCTGCACACAAGGCCAATAGCATTACTATCTTTCAAACCCTACTTAGCATAAACTTGGACCAACAGCATTGATACATTTTTCAAACCCTAATTAAGGTGGACCAGCAGCAGTGAACCGAGGGCACACTGGGCGGGTCCTCTGGGCACCGCAGGAGTCCTGCTCCTGTTCTTCAATGCATCCTGCCCTTACACTCGTCCTCCTGCTCTGTGGACTCAATCTTCAAATTCATGGGAACCCAGAAAGAAGAGGAACCTGAACATGAGCTGCCGGGGTCTCTGCCACTCTGGAGGGCGTGGCCTGCCAGTAAGAGCACGGCACTTCCGCTTCCTGAACTTGTGCAGACCCCTCCTGTGGGCAGCAGCAGGGAGGCAATCCTGTTTCCTCTCAAAACCCTGGTTTAACGGGAACAAGGAGGCTGAGCAAGGGTGACAGCCAGGCCCTGCCCTGTTACCTGCTTGCCTGGATCTGAGCTTCCATCTCTATCCCATGAGTGGAGGTTGGGTAGAGACTGGAGCTGCTCTCGTCTAGAACAGAGTTGGCGACAATGACAGTGGCAGCCCAAGGACAGAACTCAGCCCCAGCCTAGCAGCTGGCAGGAGAGCCCTGCGCTCTGGGCTGCACCTGGCAGAGCAGAGCTCCTACCACTGAGCACAGGCAGGGAGGTGACAGAGAGGGCCTGGTTCAGTACTGCAGACCCAGGACACTGGAGGTTTAGTAGATTCCCATGAATAAGAGCTTCTCACGTACACCTCCCCCCCACCCCCCGACAATCTTGAGTTTTAAATACTTTTTTTTAATGACTTCACCGGCGACAGCTGTTTGGGGAAGGTCTGTTAGGCCCTCACACCACCACTCACTGCAGCGCACGCCTTACAGGAGAGTTTTTATACTCAGATGACAAACATCAAACGCTCTTTATTTCTGAGGGCTTTTCAGTTACACGAGGTCCTCAGTTTGACAACTCGTAAGTTGTCTTCAGAGTCTAAGTACACGTGAGTTCATGGTCCAGGCAGTCAGTGTCTTCAAATGTCTGCAGCGCTATTAAACACACGTGTCTCTGTTTCCTATGCTGCTTTCATAATCTAGAACAGCTTTCTCAGAAATTAAATAGCTGGTAGGTAACAGGGGTCAAAAATGTCCTGGATACTCAACTAGTTTTGCATACACGTCTAGAGATGGCCCTCACACGAAGACAACCAGCGTCATCCTGCCTGCCAGAACCACAGGGCACCACTCGGGGGAGCCCCTCCTCAGCTGGGTGACGCGTACCACAGGTAACTGCTCTAGGGGGCGCCCGAGGAAGGCCTCGCCCTCCAGACCTACAGGCCAACCTTCTCCCTGCCTGTGTGGTGTGGCACTGGGACGTGGTGTGGCACTGGGACATGGTGTGGCACTGGGACGTGGTGCAGCCGCCAGCTGGTGGGGCCTAGTGAAGCACGGAACTGTTTTAAAATGAAATGTCTCCTCCTCACTGAATCAGCATCTACCAAGTGACAGGAGCACAGGCAACCACCCAGACTGATCCCACTGAATTCGCCCCTCTCCCCAGGGCGACAGAGAGGAGCTATGAAATGAGAGGGTCACACAGCAGAGGAGCGGGGCACGGTGTGACGCAGAGGAGGGGCGCTGAGCTGGTGAGGGAGGGTGCTGCAGGGTGGGCCTTACATGTCCCCCCAAGGCCCACGTGCTCCAGGTTTGGTCTCCAACTCTCACTCCTGGGAGGTAGTGGGACCCTTAGTTGGTAGGGCTTAGTAGAAGGAAGTTAGGTCACAGGGAGCGTGCCCGAAGGGGACATTGGGACAGCCATCATTTCCCAATCTCTCTCCCTGCTTCTCTGTCACACACTCCCACCATGACGAATGCCTCCACCATAGGCCCTAAAGCAATAGGCCAACCAACCATGGAGGGAAACCTACAAAACTGTGAGTCAAACAAAAATGTTCTCTTTCTAAGGTGATTTCCACAGGTGTTTTGTCATAGCTACAGAAAACTAACAGAAGTGGGAGGCATTCATCAGGAGGAGAAACCACAAAGGATCAGTTGAGACAGAGGAAACAGCTACACGGCTGTACATAGGGCAGGAGGCACTGACTGGAGGAACAGCAGCCTTGGGTTTGGAGATACAAAGACTAAGAGGAAGGAAACAAGAAGTGAAGGGGGATGGGGGCTAAGGACTCTGACAGGGGAAAGTCACTGAAGATTCTGCCAAGGTCCACACTGTTGTCAGGACCATCACTGAGGTGACCAACACAGCCCCAGCTCTGAGATAGACACAGAGGGCACAGGGCATCCTCACAGATGGGGCAACTTGGGGTCTCAGGTAGGGAGAAGGGGTGTAGAGCATGACTCCAAAGGAGAAGTTCAGCCACCAGATAACAAGGACGGCAATGGCCAGTGGAGAAATGCCGGTGTTACAGGTGCTCAGAACAGGTGGCGATGGCCGCCCAGTGTCTCTGGCCATCTCCACACAGACCTGAGGCTCAGTAGCAATAAGAGGCAAAGGGCAAGAGGCAGTGGCCGCAGACTCGCTGTCGGTGAGGACCAGCAATGACATGGCCCGTGGGGGGCAGTGAAGGTGCCTTGGATGCCAAACCCACACTGGTAATCGCCATCTCAAGTTGCTTAACAGCTAATAAGAGTTTGAAATTACTTTAGGAATAGGTTCAGAAAGATAAAAGACATTGTACTAAAGTAGGTATTACCTATTCTGAAATAGCCATCTTCTAATCGTTTGTCTTTGGTTTCTTTGCTTATTTCCAAACCTTCTCTCTGAAATAAAACCAAAGTATTAATTTACAAGTAATTGCTTCTATGGAAACAGACATGAGTCATGACAATGTCTTCACAAACTCAAGTAGCACTTGGGGCGCAGCTCTCACCAGAGAGCAGTGTCAGCCACCAAAACACTGGTCAGTAAAGGTGCTTTGTTTACCCATCATCTGAATCTGGATATAAAACATTGATGGCTGGAAAATTAGACACTAAATCTTGTACAGCAGTCAAGAACGTGTGTTGACTTGAAAGAAACCAGGTATTCCTAACAGAAAAATAAATTAATTTTGTATATTCACCAACAGGTACTTAAATGCCCAGTGGTATCTGGAGACTCAAAATAGAAACTCCAAATAAACACTGAAATAAACAGTCTTTTTTTTTCCTAGAACAAATGTCCACATTATTTTCCAACAGAAAACAAAATGAATGCTCTGTGAATGAGGATAGGGGCCAATATGCCGGGGCTCAATATTTCAAGACAATTTTAGATCACCCCCACTGGAGTCCCACAGACCATGAGATGTTCTTTCATCTCATTAACAAGAACAGCCTCACACCAGGGCTACAGGGATTAATTCCTCGGAAAGGGAAAGAGGAAGGAATTGTTGTACCTTAAGTGGCAAAACTTCAACAGTTGTGTTGAGCAGAATATCTCCTGGGTGCTCCTGGTTGCCACTGTGGAAGAGATAACTGAAATGCGACAGAAGAATGTGTGTCGGTTATTAGAGAAAGTTTTCATACAAAAAGTGCTAGTCACAGCAAGTTCAAAGACTAATTTTAGGCAATACAAATAATTTTAGTATTAGGAGAATGAAACTAAAAAGAGCTTCTTCCAAACCCTGAACACCATGTGTCACTATTTCAAACATTTGAAACATCATGAATTACACGACATACTGAGATAAACCTAACACACACTTGGTGTGAGCATGACATTCTCAGAACTAAATAGTGGGTATTTGTAAGTGTGGGAGGAATGGGACCAGATAGGAAGCAGGAAGTATATCTCAATACAAACCTAACTTAGGGTTAGTTACAGTGACTGATTAAAAGTTTAGGCTTAGCAGTCACAGAGACCTGATCCCTTGAGTAACTTTCACTAGTTTTCTGAGTGAGTTTCTTCCACCTACTACACATATTCCCACCTTCCACTATTTCAAGGAGTTTATGAGTTTAGCACCTGCGTGTTAAAAATAATCAGCCAGGTGTAAGTTACAGGTGATGACAGGATTGACAAAAGGGTATTTGTAAGCAAAAATCACCTGTGATGACAACTGAT